TGACAGTCTCATTCCCTACAACAGTTCCGAGGAGTTAAGCAAGTTCAGTCACTGAACATTTACAACTCCAAATTATTTTCATAACTGTATGACGCAGACAGTCACGGGAGACATCAGTGGTCACGTGCTCCTACCCCACCGTGGGGATTTAAAGAAGAATGAAGAAATTCTGGAAGGGGTAACCTGGACACAAAACCATCAGGAAACCAGAAGCTGAAAATGCAATCAGAGCCTGAGCCTTATTTCAGTTTTCGGTGTATGGATTCTTATTTCTGTTTTACTGGGTCCTATTTCCCCCCTAAACCATTTTACATTCTAGCCGCACTCTCCTTACCGTTCCCCTCCCTTTCATCTTCTGCCCACACATCATCGGTGGCAGAGGGAGAAATAACAAAGAAAACACATACAATTGTGGAACTAACATAGATTAGACTTTTCAGTATTCCAGGACTAAATTTTTGCCCTGGGTAGCCTAAGCAGCAGTTGTGTATCCTCTCCTTTGAAAAAAGCCGTTTAAGTAGCACAACATTCAGAAAGCCTGCAATGAAGGATGTGAACCCTTAGCTACCAACGCCTAGGCCACCAGCTGGCATTATTTCAGCTTCTCATTTTGTAGTTGTTGTAAATAAGCCTAAAATAAACACGCACCACCAGCTCTAGTCACCTTCCTTGTGTCACCCAAATTACAGAAAGCTATAGAATCTGACTTTTTTTTAGATCACCTCTGTAACAGTTTGTGGACAACCACTAAAAAAAGGCACTTAGAAGTGTGGAATTCAGTACCCCAGCCTAACACACGGAGAAACTGAGACAAAGGCAAAATTACTTTTTCAAGATTATACGGCAAGTCAATGGCAGAGTACAATTACAATTCTGAGCCTTCTAGTTTCTAATCCTATAATCCTCTTTCCAAAATCTATTAGCACGACCAAATACGCCGTTTCAGTGATGACCGTGAATGCTCCATTCTTTTGAATGCTCCGCCCCAGGTATCACAAACTGACCATTCAGACGACAACGCATGAATAATTTACAGCCCTATTAAACGCCTGAATCCAAATTACTTCGCATCTCAAGTTTCTGACCAGCAGCACTACATTCAATGGCTTTAATTGTGAAACAATATCTCCCAATTATAAATCGTTGAAATAGGCTGCTGAGTCAGCATTGTGTAAAAACTTAAGTCTTAGGCTGAAGGGGGAGATGAAAACAGTAATTTGTGACCCCCTCTGCTGTACAGTAATCCTATCCCTAAATTTCACTCCTTGCTGCTGAGCGTAGACCACATTTAACAGACACCAGCCTGGCATGAGTAAATCTGTCCAGAGCCCCACACATGACTGCATCCGAAGCTTGGCCAGATCGACTGCTGCTCCGAGCCCTGGCAACTTGCACTCGCAGGTTGCTCTCTTCACCGTCTGGTGTTGCTCTTGGCAAGCCAGCCCTCATCTTAACACCTCCCCAGTGACCTGCCAGCACAATTTGTCTCGTACCAGAAAGCTGCCCTTTTTTCTGACAGAACCAAGGGGCTGGATGAACTGTTCGGGAGGCAGTAAGACCAGCTGCCAACTACTTTTCCTAAAAATCCCAAACCTGCAGACCCTCACTTCATCTGATGGCCAACTCACTCCATCCACAGCTCAGTCTTTGCACGCTCCTCATGATCCTCCAGGAAAGTGGGTAGGCCTGGAAATCCCTGGGTTTTCTGGACATACATAGACTGTTTACCTTAAGGGTGTACAATAGCTACCCTCACAAGGTATCACAGGGGGCCACAGCACATGGGCCTTCTCTCCTGCAGGAACAAGATACACAGTGCACACCCATAAACACTTACCATTAACCCTGAGAATTAAGAGCTTTTAAAATCTCCAGTTGCTTAGACTACTTACCTGGCAAAGCGTGCTAACGGTGCAAAACTTTCCCAAGAAATCTGCTTACATTTTATTTACATACACAAGCTACAGGTATTTAGAAAGTAGGAGCTCTTATTCGTGAGCAGCGAAATTTCAACCATACCTTTTGAAGAACAGCAAGTTTTCCACTACTTCAAGGTTCTTTGGTTTTGAGGAAGCTTTTGCGTTTTGAATCAGTCTTGTCCCTCTTTAGTCTGTCTCTCACAGTACTCTGGCAAACTTGTAGCAGTAATTTGATAGTTGTCCAAAAGTTGAGTTTGGTACCTTGTGCTGAGAACTTGCAGTTCGCAGGAAGACCAAACACTCCTGCCTCAAGCACAGCAATATTCAGCAGCATGAGGAACACCTTTGGGGACTGTAGCAATTTTGGCCATCTAATTGTAATTCACAGGTATCAGCCCATTAAAGTCTGCATTCCAGAGTATGCTTGGTGTGTGACCTCTGAGGTATTACTGCTCCCAGTCATCCTCCCCATACCTCTATTTGGAGAGCACTGTTTCAAGGAATATTTGTATTAAAAAAAAAAAAAAAAAAAAAAAAAGTAATTCCAAAGCCTCATTGATTTATGTGAGCGAGCCTAAAGCTTTGCAGAAACTTAAGGCAAATTAGCTGGAATCTGAAATTACCATTTTTATTTTCTTTGCTGTAGACACCTACACAATATGGTTTACAAACTCCATCCAAAAGGCAATGATTCCAAGGTATTGCCTTTTTATTTGGGTAAAGGTTTAGGAAACTGTAGAATAGTAGGTACACCAGAAACAGCAGAGAGGACTTCTCCGAAAGAAGAGGAAGCTAAGAACACTTCCAAATACACCGTGGTCAATATATCATTAAATGACTTTAGACACCAAAACTTAAAAAACCTGTCCGTTTCTTTATACTGATTAAAACACCACCATCTCCCCCCAAACCCCCCACCGTTAAGCAGCAAGATTTTTCTGCACTGACATTACTGAATCATAGAATTGCTTTGGTTGGAAAAGACCTTTAAGATCATCGAGTCCAACCTTTAACCTAACCCTGCCATCCCACCACTAAACCATGTCCCTAACGTGGGATTATGTCTGCTGCGACTCAGTAGTTAAAAGGAGTTTTTACCTCACCTATGAGCCAAGACAAAAGCTAGGACATCACCTTTCAGTGTAACTTATTTAATACTATTTGCCACTTCGGAGCCCACCTGAGTTTGAAACTATTGGTTCTGTTATTACAGCTTTCAACATCTAGTTGTTTTGGTTGGTTGGCGTTTTTTTTAAGAAAGATTCATTGCATATTGTAATAATGCACAATCAGCGGCGGTTTATTTCCATTTTGCTTTAATTAAACACAAACGCACCTCAGGAGTCTGACGATTCGGCTTTGCCCTCACTGCCTTTAACAGCGCAAGTACTAACTTAACCGTAACCGATTTAAGAGACTTAAGGCTTCACGGCTGAGGCGGCGAGCGGTCCCCGAAGTTACGGCTCCTCCGGCACGCGTGCTCCGGCGGCACGGCAAGGGCTGCCAAGAGCTTGCTTCGCCCGGCGTCAGGGCGAAGACGAAGCGCTGCC